TGCAGTCATATTCTAGAGCTGATTGCTTCTGCTGCGACGACAACTTCTGTGGAACTGATTGTTTTGATTGATACTGCTGTTTTCTATATTTCTTCACGCTGTTCACAGTCGCTGGATCATCTTTCATGTTCCGGAGTTGCTCTTTGCTTGTTTCAGTGGCACGGACTATTTCTATAGCTTTTTCTAATCCCAGGTTAGATTCTCGAAGCAAACGTTCGGTCGGACTCCTGTCCCAAATGCCTAATACAATACGGTCACGAATCAATCCATTTTCTTGTTTAGCAAACTCACAAGTTGAAGCTAAAGTCTTTAACTGAGTGACATAACATTCAATTGTTTGTCCTTCTTGCTGGCTACACGAAAATAATTTGTAATGTTCACATACAACATTCTGCCGTGGTGAACAATAATCTTCAAAAGATTTCAAGACCTCTTCATACTTATCTTTATTCTCAGGTGGTTCAAATCGAAACGTGTTATTAATTTTGAGGCTTTCAGTACCGAGTAAATTCAAAAGAATTGCAATTTTAGTCTTATCTGGCTTGGCATCTTTTTCCATTGCAAGTAGTTTTCTAACTCTTGCTTCCATTTTCTTTAACATTTCCGACAGAGAATGTTAGCGGAACAGGTGGTCTGAAATCCATTTTGCTCCTGACACCATGTAACTTCTTGTAAATGTTTAGTTTGTTCCACTTAGTAACTTCTATACTTTTAAAGTAGACTCATCTAATGAGTATGGCTTAAACAAATTCAAAAATTTATTTTTTTAAATACAGTTCACATGACATTAAGCTAGCACAACAACACATGCATCACAACAACGGAATAGTATAGCATGAACGTGGTTACAGTCATTTTAAATATACATCACAGAAACAATGACATTGATTCTGGTAACTACTATATCCCAAACTACAGCTAAGAAAAGATAGTAATGTCTTTGTTAACTGTGACTGTTTAATTCCCAACATTTTCAAGTTAGTTAAAACTGAGGTTATTCCAAGATATATCAAATAAAAATTATTGCACTAAATAACAGTTTATGATATCTAGATAAAATGGGCTCTGATAATCATACCAAGTTGAAATGAAAGTACATTGCATAAATCTTAAGTCTGCACATTTAACATGGCTTTAGGATGAAGGAAAGTCCTTATCTATAATAGCCAAGGCAGGGTTCATAGCCACATTTTAGTTAAAAAAATAAGCACCTATAAGCACTTTTCAAGCACATTTTAAGAAAAAAAAAAATAAGCACCTGTTTAATTACATTATACACAACTGCATAACCTTAAAAATTAGACTTGCAATTTAAAATATGAGCAATGCAATATTTATTAAGAGAATGAGCACTACCTCAAACATGGAAAACAATTAACTTTTTTTTAAAAAAATTTTAAATGACAGTTCAATTTACAGAATTAGTTTACAATGAGAGAAAAAAAACTATGCAAAACTAAACTATATTACAAGATTTAATGATGAAATTTCAGTTCAAAATATAGAAAATAAATAATAATAAGCCATATTAATTGTATTCGCTTGGCACCTAAATAAATACAATTATTTTCCCACTCATATTAATATTTAAATAATTTAACTTAAATCAAAATTCTGAACATTTTCTAAATTTTCATTGCATAACAGTTTTCCCTTAACATATATTGCAAGCAAAGTAATTTAAGTAAAAAAGAGGAACTTTTCTGAAATCAGGAGAGGTGGGAAATTGCTTTAATGCAGTCATCCTTTAACAGTAAAAGCTTAACTAACCCCATAAAAGAATATCTTAACGAACCCTCATATTCAGAAACTGCCGAATATTCCGTATAGTCGAGCGTAACTGAAAAAAGAGGAAGGGTGGTAGATTGTAGCCGTTCTTTAGATTTCTCGGCTAAATAAATGATTTTGACATTTCGATATGTGCATCGTATAAAAATAGACCAACGGAACTGAAAGAAATATTCTGCTTAGCAAGCAAAGTAAAACTTCTTTTAAGTGTTCATAAAATAAATCTTCAGACTGAACATCAAAATGAATTATCTCTGCAAAATATCAGCAAACTGCTTATTGTGCAATACACGTGCAACCGTAATTCTTCCATACGTGATATTACGCAATCGGAATTATCAACAGCTGCCTGGTATTCAGAGAATAAAGAACTAAATTAAAGGAAAAGAAAGAGCAGACTTACCAATCTGGGGTGTTTTTGATTCTCACTTCTAATTTTGAAGTAGACTGTGTTAAATTTCTGGAATAGAATCATTTCTTCGCTTGTGTTGGGTAGACCGCAAAACTTTTAGTCCTATTCAATCCAGATTGGAAGAGACCCCCCCCCCCAAAAAAAAAAGTCCATTGCTTGTTTTCAGCAAACTGTAATGGTTTCAATATTCGAGATTTTGCGGAGAAAGGGGAAAACCTCCCAACCTCCGTACTGTATAATGTATTTGGAAATATATATATATATATATATATATATATTTTGACTATTCAATTACTTTCCTTTTATTTAAGCCATTCCGAATATTATTTTTTAGAAAGCTAATCTGTGTAAAAATACACCCATTTTTGGAAGTTTATCTACACTTCAGCAGCTACTGCAACTATATTATTATAAATATTCATATATATGCTCATAATAAACACGAATATTAACTGACCACGCGGAACGAGAATGCAAATTATTAAAAGAAATTCAAACGTGTGTAGTATCTGGGTGGGAGGAAAAGAATACCGAATGTACCGGAATTTTCTACGGTTTTTGCAATTCTTTGACCAATAGAACGACGTGCACCTGTCTGTACTCTCGCACGCACCACAGGTTACGTTAATGAAGAGAAAAGGGGAAAAGCTATTTCCGGGAGTATGATTCACCATCTGACATTCCATATAAGGAAGAAAAGTTGTTTTATTAGTTTCTGTTTTTGGTATGGGGGAAAAATGCGCGTTCATTAAAAAAGCACTAAACGCAAAAAATAAGCACTAAAACAAAAAATAAGGGCTTTAAAGAAAAAGTAAGCACCTATAAGGGCCTTTATATTTTATTTTCAAATATAAGGACTTATAAGCACTTGTAAGGACCGCTACGAACCCTGCAAGGTGATATAAAGGTACTGAGTTGCATGTCACATTTCCTTGCTTTTTTGGGGGTGGGGTGGGCAAGACTAGGTTATTTGTTAAGGGCTTCATTCAGGAAATGAATGGGTAGCATTCTAGGTTTAAAATTAGGTACAGTTCCTTGTCAGAAATCTTTTACATGAAGAAATGATTAAGTTATTCAAATATGGTGTCACACACAAAGCCTGTCTCTCTAAGGGGACAGATGGCTTTGTGGTGGACTTTCTAAGGGAAACTGGCTCATATTAACATTACATACAAAAACCAACTATGCAGCTAGCCATTCACCTAGGATCAAACCCAGGCTGAACTTCCAGTATCCATTCGTGATGGAAAATTAGAACATTAAACTTTAACTGATGTGGTATTATGCTTCTGGAATATAACAGAATAATGATTTTTTTATATGCCTTGAAGGATACCATGTGTAATTTGAGAAAAAATATTCAGCAAACTTTAAAAAAAAATATTAATCTTTTCTGCGTATAGGTGAATGCATATTTAAAAAGTATTTTTAAAATTAAAATATTATTATGGACATTTTTGTAAATTTTTTCTTAAAAAAAAACTCCAGCTTAGTGAACACTCATAAGAAGCATATGCTTTTTTTCTTGCCATAAGATAACCTAATGGGACTAGCAGGGTAAATAAACCCTTCAATATAGGTACTTTCTTCGAAAAATAAGGGTCAAAATTTGCTTAACTATAACTGATTACTGTTCAAAATCAGCTAGGCCATCAAAACAAGTGATACACAATATTTCAACTGCACTTTGCCAATCATGAAAGGAATATGCAGATTCTATTTTGAATATTGTTTTCCTTGCTGCTCTGTCAGTAAAATCCAACTTTTTTCAGCGTTTCCCATAGCTCAGTGAAAGGAATTTCTGTACAAATAATGGAGAATCTCGACTAGTTGGAGTCTACTTATATTATCTTGCTACATCTGTCTTCTAATACTTAAGCATACTTGCAAAGGTATTATTTTTTAAAGAGCACTACTTAATTCAAGACTTAACTTTAATTTCCTTTTTATATTTGCTACCTACGAAAAGATAAATTTTAGCAGAAACAGACTGCTATTTAGATAAATAGTTCTCCTTATAAATACTGCCAATATCATTGAAAGTGGTAGATGTATGCTGAAAACAAAACTGTTTTCAAAAATGCCATATCCAAATCTGAACTTGCTTGATATGGTGAGGTTTACTAGATTATTAAATTCAGTTAAATGACAAAGATTACTATTTTATGTAATTAGACTGCCATTATTATCATTATGCTAGTCCATTTCATTACTTCATATTGTGTCCATACTATGAAACACAGGATCGTGTTAAATTTATTTCTAGCACAGCCGAGATCATATTAAAAAAATAATTAGCTGTTAATTTTAATATTTGCCATTAATGGTGATAAGTTTACATTAAATGTCAGTATCACAGCCACCACCTTATCAATAACATTTATTAATTTAGGTCTCAAACATTTAGTCAAACATCGTATGATTATAGTTCTGAAGCAAAACCTGGATAAAAACTTCACAAAAAACCTGCATTTGAAGCAAAACTAGCTGGATTTAGTATGAAGTTATGTGAAATTTTTACAATGTAATTAATTAAGTTCTCTCAGTATGGTTCACAGACAATCATCGCATGATAAAGAAACAGAAATCAAGGGAATCATAAAAAATGGGACAGAATTAAAATTAAGAAATAAAATTAATACATTTATAAATATTGAAATTATAATTAATGAGACATATTTTAAAAATAACTAACTTAAAATATTATTTAGAGAAGAAATTTTAATAAATTTACACATTCATTCACAATACCCTTTTTTCTTTACTTTCTTTCTTCTTGAAAAATAATAGTTATACTTACACCATAGTCAGTAAGAGCTAAAGTATGTAAAGCTCCACAAGACACAGTTAAAACAGTCACTTGCAATCTAAGAAGTGCTGGCACTGGCTGAGGCACCTGATATTCTGCTCCAACATCTTCAGTTCCTAATCTGACTTTGAAAAAAATAATGAGATGACAGAAAGCAGGAAAAATAAACATCATACATATTCAGAAACATAAATGCTAAAGATGTAGATTTCTGCAGTTTGTATACTACATACGTAATAATTTAAAAGGCCAGTCTTAGTGTTAGTCATTTGTGTAAGGTTTTCAAAGTTAAGTGGTTGGTCTTTGTACCCCGAAGTGCAGGAGCGCCTGTAATATCGTGGAAATTAAAGGGTGATTAAACCCTTCTCCTCTTGTTTTCTCTCCTACACTCCTAGGACATAGTTTGGAGTCAAACTCACTGTCTACTCAGGACATGTCATGTTCGCCAAGCAGATTTGGAGAAATACAAGTCCTGATAACAAGTTATTCTGTAAAATAATATTTAAGAACATTCGTAGCACTCCATGGTATGTATAAAGGAGCTCTTGCATATAGTAGATTGTATGTGCAAGGCACTTATATGCTTTTACAGGCAAAACAATTTCATTCTCGATGACGTAGCATGTTACTGAACCTGTAGAACTTAACTCCTCAAAGAAGTAAGGGTCGAGAATAAATCATGCAGAAAATCCACACCTTACCATCACTTTCGATGAATGCAACAGAACCTCTAAGACAGGGTGTGAATTTTCTGCTTTCCAAATAACTCAACTTCAAGACGTGGTTTTACAAGCTCTTGAAGAATACAATTTGGATTGCATAAGAATTGATTATTAAAGGATAATATCATCGTAAAGCCCTTCAAAAGATGGACAAAATGACATAAGTTTAAGAACTGTGGGACGATGTATCAACGAGTTATTGACATCTGAATTCTGCAAACCCGTAAGTCCATCAGTTTTAACAATACTTAACATTAAAACAACGTATAAATGTCTAATAATCAAATCTTTAAACTAATTTCTACTACTTGAATTTTTATTATAATATTATAATTTTTATACAGTTAATTGGCATTTAATTTTATCTTTCACATTATATAAGTTTTGTATAAAAATATTTCAATTTGCATGAATTATTAACTAAAATAGTGAATTTTTATCAATATTTATTTTTAAAATGAATAGAAAACAAATGTTCAAACTTAAGTAAAAAAACTATAGTGCATTTGAATAATATTTTGTAAAAAACTGTCTTAATAACATTAAAATCTCTTTATTAATATATTTATTTAATAATAATAAAGTTTAACAAGGATTTAAGAGGTTCGAATCCCACAAATGGCTGCCTGCATTTGCATTTAATGGTTTTCTGCATGTGTAATGTCTATACGAGCCAGTTTCCCTTAGAAAGTCCTCCATAAAGGCATCCCTCCCCTTAGGCAGATAGCCCTAGTGTGCTTTGCCATAATTAAATAAACCAAAACCAAACCAAGGATTTAAACAACTAAACTTTTATAACATCAGTTTAATATCAACATAAATAAGCATTATAATATCTTTAATCCTTACAAATTTACAATGATAAAATTTAATATTTAAGGGCAAAGATTTGGAACAATAAATAGTTTAAATATACTATCCAAATAGCTTAAGAATATTACCGATAAATTACAACTGATTTCACTACTGTAAATATATTCTTTAAATTGATCGTATTCCAATTTATTATAAATAAGATTTGTAATTCATAAAGTTGTACAGATAAACTAAACTAGCATATTATCATAAAGGCTAAATATGCAAAAATCAAGGTCTTCTAGTGCATCATCACTAGACTTATCAGACACAGCTTCTTACATGATTGTTGAATCAAAAGTTTCTCTCCAATGCCTAGATCTATCTTTCATACAATGTGTCCTGTTAACAGTGCTACTCTAAGTGAAACAAATAATTATGAAACCACAGAGCAGAAGATTCAACATGCTTATGAAAAATATATTTCACTTTTAAAAATCAGAAAATGCAGCAAAAGATGTCTATTAAATGACAAATTCCTAAAAATAAAGTCCTTAATTGATTTCATAAAAGACTCAAGAATGGAGTCATCTCTAAATAAAAATATGAATATTCCGGAAATAAAATAACCACTTGTCAACCTCTCATCTGCAAAATGGTAACATCTGAAATAATTATAATACTCTAGAACAATCTGAACCTAAACTTTATAAGGATACAGCATCATCACCAATATGCTTCCAAGAGGAAAACAAAGAAAACCAGTTTAATCTATGATCTTACAGTCAACGACAGTCGCTATCCAATCACAGTGCTCCTTTCCTTCAATGCAATAATACCGTTCTAAGTAACTCTCTAACTTTAATATGTAATAATATAGTAAATACATTAATTTGTGTAAATAATGTACATAATCAGAGAAATCATAATGATACAAATACCTCTCCAATATGCATTGCAAATGATCAAAATCAAATAAATAAATCATACCCAGACATGGTTAAGTCTAATAAAATCCCAGAAAGTAAACAATTACTACACTTGTCATTCTTCCAAAAGTCACTATGAATAACCGCACGTTACAAGAAAATCTAGAAAAATGTAATCCTATTTTGCAGTATCATACAATACTAAATATGATATGATCAATTCAATATTAGAAAGTAATGACAAAATTAACAATATAGTTACTCTTAAAATACCTACAAAAAGAACTCCAAAATGTTCAATAAACAACTTATTGAAGACTAGAAATGCTGAAAAAATAATAGATTTAATCACCAAAAGCTAATTTTGGACTCCCCAAAATTTACACCATCATTTAAAATTAATGAAAAATGTAACAACGCAATAAAATGGATGGTAGAATGCACCCCATTTGCATTTAAATTGTTAAAGAACCATGGTATTATCAATCAGTGATGGAGGAGCCACAAAATCTCTGTATTCTTTGGTGTACGACACTGCTTCATTTGCCAAGATTTTAGCCATTCTGTATGAGAATGCAAACATATAAGTTACTGTGAATTTTGTGGTCGTAACCATAACATCAAAGAATATAATGCTGAAAATCCTATGCACATTAAATGTAAATTAGAGAATAATGCTGAAAACTTTGATCTCAACAGATATCTTGCATATGCACCAAATTCAAATCACCAGCATATCAAAACACAAATATATGCACAAACATATCAAAACAAAATTTATAAAGACATAACAAGAAGATACGAAATAACAGAATAAATACAGACCTGTAGTTAAAATACACTTCCTTAAAGACTCCAAACTCTTACTTAAAGCTTTTATTCTAACACCTTACCTAATATTATGTTAATATCTACAATTTTAAATAAAAATCATGCTATACCATCTTTCAAATTTCAACAAATTAATTTGCAACGAGCTCATTCTGCAACAACAAATTAAGTTCAGATATAAACAGAACTCAATCTAAATTTAATCTAAATCCAAGAACCTTACTGCACTAATGGCAAAGTAAGCACAATACCTAACTCACAGAGCTGCTTTCAATATTATTCAATAGATTATTCCTCAATAAGATTAGCAATCCTCCTTTTAAATAAAAATCTAGTGCCAACAATAATATATGCAAGCAAAGATATTGTCACAATATCCATAAATCATAAAGAAAATGAGCTTTTAATAGCTTCTTTATGTTCATCTCCAATGGAAAATCTTGAATATAATCTAATGATTCTTTCTTCCATAATAAGAAAGTATCAAAATTCATATCATATAACTTGAGGTGACTTTAATGTCCATCGTTTAACATGGGGCTACAATAAAACTGACGTAAAAGGAGAACAAGTTGAAGAATTAATAGCCTCTCACAACCATTATCCTTCACAATGATGACTCAGCTCCACCAGCATATGAAATGATTCATGGACGTGGATAGCCAGACATAACAGTTACTTCTTACTCAAAAGTGAACACAATTTCATTTTGGGAAGTTCAAAAAATAATAACATTATCAGATCATAAAATAATTTCATTTACAATCAATTTAAGTATTGAAACAACTTCAAGACAGTGTTTCAAATTTAATTCAGGATCTAGCAAGAATTTTATTTGATTTTACAAGATCTTCCCTTAATCCATTCTGAAATCAATAATTCATCCAACATTAGAATGCTTAAAAAAGCTATTCAAAGTCTTACAAATTGTATACAAAGGTGCTGCAAAAAATCATTTGAAACTAAGGAATCAAGCAGTAAATTAAAATTAAATTGGTGGAGAAAAGAATTAAAAGACACAACAAAATAAAACAAGAGCTTACTATAGAAAAATGAAGAAAGCTTCTACTCAACAACTGAAAGATAACACCTATATTATATTCTTGCAACAAAAAGCAATCTATAAAAGAATGATTTTAACAGCTAAAAATCAACATTAGAAAAATTACTGCAATAAAAATAAAGATACATATGGTGCCATCTACAAAATATGCATGATAAAGTCTTCAAACCAACTTAAAATAAAATCCCTTTAAATATTAATGAATCTCAGCTAAATAATCAAGATGCAACTTCAATAACAATATCTAATATAATGGATCATGTTTCCCTACAAGATTATCTTCTTGAAGATACAGCCAAGCGATGAAAAATCAAAAGCAGTAATTATATTTCACACACATCTACACATCTGATGTGTAGATGTGCCTTTTACATCAAGAGAAATCTCTCATATTATAAAACATTTCCCAAAACATAAAGCATCTGGACCAGATAACATAACAAATCAAATAATAAAACATATTCACTCTACAGATCGAACTTTATTCTTGGACATCTGTAACAAGTGTTTACAATTAAGGACATTTCCAACATGCTTCAAAGCATGTCAAGTTATCCTATTTAGTAAACCTGATAAAGATTCTAACGATATAAGTTCATATAGACCTGTAAATCTAGTACATGCAATAGGAAAGCTTCCTGAAGGAATAATTGCTTGCAGTCTCCATCACCACTTAACAAAATAAACTATATAAGCAACAATCAGTTTGGATTTACTACAAATAAATCAACAATGAATGCAAGACTCAGCTCTGAATGAAATTAATATTAGTAACTCAAAT